TCTTCAGTTCAGAAGCATCCCCTTCCTAGCAGAGCTGTTTTCACACACAAATCCCCCAGCTGTACCTCTCTCCTGCTAACCCCCATTTTAACAGTCTTAAAAAATTAGCAGTTGCTAACAATCCAGCAAACAGCTAACTAAACCAGCAATTGTTTATTTGTCTGTCAGACAGTTTGGACAATGAAAATTTGACTAGTTTCACTTATTTTGTTTCTGTACACTAGGAACAAAGCTGCATTGTTTGAAACTGGAACAAAAGGAATTCTGAACTTCTAGAAAGTTTACATTAAAAAAGTCACTGAATACTCAACTCCAATTTTAGGCTTTGTGAAACTTCCAAGCACCACTGCTGCTCTCCCTACCCCCTGTTTTAATTTAGTAAGGAAATTAAATGAGTGAACAAAAAAAACCCACCAGGAAAAGCTACATCGCAATAGCTTAGTTTATTTTTTTGTAGCATATGCTAGTCAAGCCTAAAACATTATCAAGCTGAAACAGCTCCATAATCTTACAAGGTAGGAGGCTCCTTAGTTGACATAAGCGAAAGCAACTAAATCAAGCTCTGCAGCTCAGCTTTGGCAATACTATATAAGGACCTATTTGCCACATCTTAAAAATCTCCAAAAGAAAATACTTCTAAAAAAGTTGTGAATATTACAAGCTGTTCCCTGAGCATTTCACCAGTCAAGAAACTGTTCTGAGCATGCAGAATCTTGCAGATAAGGTCGTCTATGTTTAGTCAGGCTGTCCAATGTCATTGAGCAAGAATCAACCTGTTAGATAAAACTAAAAAGATATATTTATAAAATTTCAGCACTAGCGGTATCTCATTTTCTTTGTATTAAAATATAAACTGCTGCCATTTCAGGAAAGGCTATCAAAACACACCAAGCATTTTTGTAAGGTGTTCTTCTGCTGAAGAATATAGCCTAAAACTTTGATAAAAGGACAGTTTTGCTACTACTACATATTATATAAATAATTTCTGATTTAACGATACAAAACCAGAATGCCATGTTTAATATTATGTCATGTATCCATGCCAACCTGGCTCTCTCCTTCCCTCCATTTTAGCTTTGGTACAAAGAAGCAAAACAAAAAAAGGGATTCTAAAACACATGTCGAGCAACCTGCTCTCCATTTCCCCCAAGAAAAATAACGGTAGAATCCTGAACAATGAAAAGACTTTTGATTTTTCTCCGAGTTACACGTTGCAACACCGTATACCTGAAGGACTTTTTAAAAAGTAATTATGAACTACAGCATCACAACTCAGCCCAAATGGAACATCACACCAACCAGGTGCAGCAATTTCCCCACCCTTCAGACAACTGGCCTCTGCGGCGTACCCAACCTGCACACTTGGGTTTCAATGCCTGGCCTGGGACACCAATGTAGTTAAGCAATCTTGTTCTCCTTTTATTGGAAGGGTTTTCCCCACCGGCTTTCTGAGGAATGTATGTCACTTAAACTATACTGGAAATCATTTAAAATATCACACAAACTCTGATGTAGTAGAGATGAGACAGGATGTCCCCCAAATTCTCTGGCTGTCTAAACTGTAACCTATTATCAACCTAGAAATTTCACATCCCCATTTGCAGCCTCTCATAACATTGGTGTATGAGCTGCTAGCCCCCAAACCCACACAACAGGATTCTCTGGATATCCAGATAGGTTCTGCTCATCTCACAGCTTCTGGCTCCAGAAGGCAACTTGGGTAACAACAAAAAAATTAAAAAAAAACAACCAACCCAATCCCTTCTGGTCCTTTCCAAGTCACCATCCAATCAAAGAGTAAAACGCTAATTACTGAACTCACCCATCCTTACATGCTTTAACCTCAAGACTAGTAGTTAACCTTGCATTTAAATGCACAAAGTTAACTTTTGATTTTTGTGAAAACTAACCTAATCTTGTATACAAACACACCAGTTTTTCAAACGCTGGTTACCCTCTCTGAAGTCAAAGGGTATAAGGACTTCAGGCACAGTTCAGGATACTGTGGATTTGATTCTCCCTCAAAGCTGTCTAATGACTGTTTTATGAAATTTACCGTAGTCAGGATACAGAGTATAAAAATGTGAAATTCATAAGTTGTTAAAGAGACTAAACAGTGCAATGATTTGGCATGAAATCAGCTTTCTGACTAAATGGTTGGAGGTGACAATTCAGCCAGTGGTGAAAGTTTTTAAGCAGCAAAACCCCAGAAGAGATAAGAGCAGTATCTGGCACTAGAATGCTTCCTTAGTTTTGGCCTGAGAGTCAGTTCTAGGTGTATCTCAAGACACAAGAAATGCATTAAGCCTATCTGTCACCTACTTCAGTAGCTTTCAGAGTAGACATCAGCCAGTTTTGACACCAAGGAATGTGTCTGGACAGCAAGACAAACTGCCCACATTTTATTTTTACAGACTAAAGTTGTTCAAATACAACATATCATGCCAGTAGGGAAGATGTAGAAAAACAATCCAAATGTCACACTGTTGCACAACTTCTGCCATACTAAATTATTTGCTTTACATTATCCACTCATTTTTCAGTTTGGGAGCAGGGGGAAGCTTGCAAGACATCCTTGTATGTATTACAATAATTTTAATGCAGACACAATTTATGTACTCTAAAGCCAAACAGTCTATCACCGAAACTCTTAACTCCAGAGAAAGTCAAAAATAAGAAATTATTAGCACGAACAAATGACACAAACCAAAGTGATCTAATACACCAATTCAATCTTTTTTTTTTTCAGCATTTAAACGAGTGGCCTCATATTTAATAGGCATCAAACACCTAAAACCAGCCTGCGAGTATCTGGAAGGAAGTAGGAGTTCTAATTTATACCCTCAAACACAGCGCGGAACCCAGTCACCTAAAAATAATAATAAAAGCAACCGAAAAAATGGAAGACAGACCCACACAGCCTCTTCCCCTGCAGCCTCTAAAGGCATTTTTCACGTTAAACAATTACTCACCCTAGCAACCTCTGCCTGAGGTGCGTTCGTTAAGAGTCACTGGACTTTGAGGCCGGGTCTGTCGCTGCGGCGTTCGGCCCCACCGCTCGCTGCCCGGGAGCTGCGGGGCCCCGGGGCGGGAGGGTCCCCGGCCCCAGCCCCAGGGGTCAATTTACGCCGACCCGTGTCCCCGACATAAACTTCCGGGTTGGGCTGGAATCGGCTGCGTAATCGTGTCCCAGGCACCACTTTTTGCGTTTTCAGACCTTCACCCCTTTAAAGGTCCCTTCCCCAGCCCCAGGAGCCCGGCGA